CTCCCTTTCTCCTCGCTGCTCGCGAGGCTTTGAATTCCCGGTCGAGAGAGGCGGGCGGGTACACGCGGAAAGGCAGCGGTGCGCGTCGAGGAGAAAAGGGAAATGGTGGAAGAGGAGGAAAACAAGAGAGGGGTATCTCATCCGAGCGCGCGAAAGCTTTCTTCAAAGAGTGCTCCATTATCCGCGCCAGGAAATCCGAGAGAAGTTCGAGCATCCGCCGAGATAATCGAATTCTTACTTCTCGGCCGCCCTTTATCTACTGGCAGCCCGTCGCTTTTACTTTCTACTCTTGTTCGATCCCTACCCTCCCCCCAAAACCGGCAGGCATACATATTTATCCACGCTTCTTCCTTGGCCAGCAGGCTTATTATTCCTCTCGTTTCTTCTATTGAACATTAACGCGTTAAGAGGAGGAAGCTTCTATGTGTATCGATACGAATGAATCGTTTCTCGTTTGGATTATCACTATTCGAGTATTCGAGTTTTTTAAAACAGGTGGCATTAAAAATTTATATCCCTTGACAGATGAATATTGTAAAATATGTGTGTATGAAGTGTAACAAACTGAACATCAACCATTAATCTTTCTCTCTAGCGAGATTTATTAAATTGAAATTGAATTTCTACTTCCTGCTGAACTTTGGAGATAATGATAAATGTGGGATCTTTTTTTTTTTTCAAATAATTAATATCTCAATACTTGGAACACCTTATTACCCATAAATGAGAAATATCCGCAAAAATATCCCCGTATGCAAATGATGATATAAATTATTTGTGAACGCAATTAACGTCGAAGAAAACGAATATCGCGGTGTCTTCGTTAATAATTGTGCATGGACCCTCTTATCTCTTGTCTCACAGGAAATCACCTTTCCGCGATCTTGGCTCGTGCGTTTTCGCAAATTGTCCAATAAATACCGGCCACCAAAAAGTTAATTAGAAAGCGGGATTACCGTTCTCATTGTCCGGCGAGGAAACAAAGGAGGCTTAACGAGGGCATTTATAGAGAAAGCAAGGAACACCGGGAGAATTTACAATGGAGTTTCTCGGCCGGTGTGCGGGCCACGATTCTCCAAGCTCGATATTTTACGCGTACACATCCGATCCGGGAACGGTGATTAAATCTCGAGCGTGGGTGGCAAATTGAAAATAAAAAAAAATAAAAAAAAAAAAAAAGAAAAAAGAGAAAAAAAAAAAAAAGAAAAAAGAGAAAAGAAAAAACGCAGACCTCGCAAAATGGTAAAAGCGTGGACATTTAATAAAGTTCGACGAAGCGTGACCCGATCTCGACGCAACGAATTCCGTGTCCGAATCGTAATTAGCGCGCACTGTCAGAACTGCGTGATTACCGTTTCGATTGCTGTACGAAATCACCGTATGATCGCGTTTTGACGAGGGAAAAAGAAAACGGAAGAAAAATCGAAAGGATTCGTTCAAGTCGAATTAACGCAAATTCGTGACAGGCAGTTAAAATGATATCTATGATATAAGAAGTTATAAATTAGTATACGCGTATCTATTTAATTTTGGCAGAGGAGTGATACTGATTTAAATTCTAGCAAAAATTAAAACGTCGATTTTATACGACTGTGTATTATACGGAAATACAATATGAAATATTCACGTATAAGTTTGATTGGAATCGATGCAACGAAACGATATTGATGCATCGTTTATTTGACAAATAGTCTGTCTCTTCCAGCCGTTCATTCCTGTCGCATTTGTCCTCCTACATAGGAGGTGTGCAAAATTTAGTGCACGACCAAATTGGAAAACACGTGTTACTTTTGATCATTGCTCCATGTATGGATTTCAAATATCCAAATTTATCCACTTGAGAATACACGATACTACGAACTGAATTGAAACAAGAAAACGTATGAATAAGAGTGTTCAGAGTGAAAATTAAAACGAATACCAATCCTAATAAGAATTTCCAATTCTCTTTTTCCATAAGACGACGAGGATGAAATAATCCTTCGGGACAAAGGATCATCGTTACGTGTCGCATAATTTTGGATCTAAGAAACACCGAGTCGTTCCATTTTTACGCGTAACCGGCTAATGTAAGATTAATGCCCCCTCCCCTGTATTAAAAATGTATCACGCGTGGGTGTAGCGGGGAGGGTCAGAGCTTTAGAATCACAATTAAGTGCGCAATTTATTCGACGCTTTATTTCCGTATAAATTTCGCCGGGTCCCCGAACACTCGAGCTCGGTAGCTGGTGGATCAGAACGAGGGGTAACGAGGAAGAAGGTGAAATTAATGTGTCTGCCGGTGGCCTGCGGTGAACAGGTCGAAACGCGGGAAATTCAAAGAAAAATCTCCTTCCGCGGGACTGCTTTCGAGATATGGCGCCACTTTGTCCTCTAATAACTTAATCGGGATAACACTTCGTTTCGTTTGTATTTCGGATGGTAAAAGATTAATCGTCTCATTAATGAGAGAATGAAAGAAGATCGATGATCCAGTTCGATATTATTATTACGAGTAAATCTTTACCGTGAGTAGAATCGTGTGTCGCCAGATACTTTAGCCTCCTTTCTCAACTGATAGGATATTCCAGATAACTCGGGTACTTACCTGCAACATAAAATGAAAAAAAAAATTCGATTATTTAAACATACTTAAGAATTAACGAGAGAATTTATGACGAATTTATAATGCAATTTATCCCGGATACTCGTTTCGACGAGTATCAATGTTGCAAGCATGTCGGTCCGCAAACATTTTGCAACCGGTTTGACGAGAAAAACGTCGTGATAAGTGTTTTCTACACGGGATGCCTCGAGCGTGACGAAGGGTGAACAGAAAGGACAACGTTGCCGCTCGCTCTCTTCGAGCTATTAAAAAATACGTGGCAATTGATTCCGCTAGAAATGAATACCGCGGTAATTTTGATATCACGATAAAATACATAATTTAAAATTTGATAAGATTTAATGAAATTTTATTAAAGTAGGTTGTTATTATTTCAGGTAAACACGTTCTCGTTATTCTCGGAGATGATTTTATAAAATTTCACTAAAAAGCGGTTGAATCGAAATTAAAATTCTTGGTGACGTGAAAAAAT